GAAACATGATTTGACTTGTTTTGGTTGACTTCTACCATTTTAACAAGAGGATTGTAGAAGAGTGAAATGGTCTTGTTTTCTCCAAGACTATAAAAATTGTGTAGCACCATGGAAAAGGAGTAGGATATTTTTGACTGGAATCAAAGCTTATCAACATTTCAGAGCATGAATAAGGGCTCACATTAAAACACATAGAAGTGTATTTGTGACATTGGAATACACGGAATTGTTTTTAATAAAATGAAAAGTGATCAAATATCAGCAGGTTATTTTTGGTGGTTTGAACTTGCTAGCAGGTGCTTTACCACTTGAACCATGCCCCCAATACCCCCTTATTTGCTTTAGTTTTATTTTTTCAGGTTTTTCCCAGAACCAGCTTCAGATTGTGTTCCTCCTCCATATGATTTCCCACTTAACTAAATTACATACGTTCTCCACTATGACAAGTTTATTAAGATGGGTCTTGCTAACTTCTTTCCTGACTGGTCTGGAACAATCTTCCTGTTCTCTGCCTTGTGAATAGCTAGGATTGCATGCATGAGCTGCTGCACTGTGCAGACATTTTGTTTGCATTATATTAGTTCACTGATTCTGCACAATTCTGCTATGTGGTATAATAAAAATGAAATCACCTGATAGTTAAGCCTAATTGAGTGAGCTCTTCATGACTGATTCAAGCTAAGTCTTCTGTCTCTTGATTTAATGCCTGCCTTCAGGATATTTGACTACCCAATAAATGTACCTTAAGTTGTTTATAAATGAAACCAAACAATATCAATCAATTTTGATAGCTAAAATAGAAGTTTTTTTCTTTTATGCCAGAACTGAAGTTTAGACTTGGGCTCTGGATGCCATTCCTTAGCTTTTCCACTCAAGGCTGGTCGTCTCCCATTTGAATCACACTTCCACTTCTGGCTTTTTGGTGGTTAATTGGAGATAAGAGTCTCACAGACTTTACCATCTGGGCTGCCTTCGAGTCTCAATCTTCAGATCTTAGACTCCTGAGAGCTAGGATTACAGGCATGAGCCACAGGTGTCCACCTGAATTTCCCCTTCTTTAGCATCAGCTGGGTGGACATTGGGACCATTGGACTAGAAAAGCTGCATTCATTATCCGTGGCTTCACATTCTTAGTAATAGAAGAGGTATTAACAATCATTGAGGCAAAGAACACAGTTAAACCAGAACTTTGAAGCCATGAAAGTAAAGAATATTCTCCCTCAATCTGATAATTATGAATGGATCCTTTGCATTTGACTGGTGGCCAGGAGTAAGAGAAAGCAGAACTGATAAGCAAATTTGATGCTGTGGCACCAGCTTCAGTCTGAAAGGCAAATAATCCAGATAATTGTTTAATTGGATGCTACTTTAAAAAGACAAGCTGGAGGGGTTGGGAAGGTGGCTCAGTGATAGAGCGCTTGCCTTGTATGCCTGAGGCCCTGGGTTCCATTTATCAGCACCACATAAAGAAAAAAGCCGGAAGTGGCACTGTGGCTCAAGTGGTAGAGCGCTAGCCTTGAGCTGAAGAGCTGAGGGACAGTGCCCAGGCCCAGAGTTCAGGCCCTATGACCAGACCCCCCCCGAAAAAAAAAGACAAGCTGAAACTCCCCAAAACTCAGGGTCCTTCCACTCCCAAGTTATTCAAGCTGATCCAAAACTTTGGCAAAGTAGCAGGGTATAAAATTAACCCTCAAAAATCAATGGCTGGGGCGGGGAGGGGGGGGAAGGAAGGAGTTGGGGAGGTGGAGAGGAAAGGGATGGTAGGGGTAAAATAAAGGAGGGGGTAACAATGCTCCATAGGAAATGGACTCATTACCTTGCTCATGTAACTGTAACCCCTCTGTATTGTATCTTTACAATAAAAGTATATAAAAAAAAGAAAAAAATCTCAGGGTCCCGGGCTCACATCTTGCTTTTCAGCCCTACTGAGTAAACAAAAACTCAAAGAAGCCGGGCAAAGGTGGCTCATGTCTGTAATCCTAGCTACTTAAGAGGCTGAGATCTGAGCATCACAGTTTGAAGCCAGCCAGGCAAGAAAATTTGTGACATTCTCATCTCCAGTTAACCACCAAAAAGCTGAAGTGAAGCTGTATGGTCAAGTAGTAGAGTACCATCCTTGAGTGAAAAAGCTCAGGGACAGTACCCAGCCCCTAAGTTCAAGCCCCAGGGTTGGCATAACAACTATAAAAGGTTGCATGGATGGGTAGAATTCATGCATGTTCTTGAGATTTATTCCATTTAACTATTTCTTCTCAGAACCTGTCAGTCTCTCCAATTTTACTTTTCAATGTGGAGTGCTTTTGGACAATTTTCCTCAGTTAAGATGCAAAAGAAAAGAGATCAAATTCTGGATTTAAAAATAATTATATTCAAATCCAATACCTTGCAATAAATACAGTACAACCTGTTTTAGGTCAGCCTGGGCTGGAGACTTTTTTTTTTCAGTACTGGTGCTTGAACTCAGGGCCTCCAACTCTCACTTGGCTTTTTCCTCTTAAAACTGATGCTCAGCCAGGCGTCGGTGACTCACACCTGTAATCCTAGCTACTCAGGAGGCTGAGATCTGAGGATTGCAGTTCAAAGCCAGCCCGGGCAGAAAAAGCCATGAAACTTTTATCTCCAATAAACCACCAGAAAACCAGAAGTGGCACTGTGGCTCAAGTAGTAGAGCGCCCACCTTGAGCTGAAGAGCTGAGGGACAGTGCCCAGGCCCAGAGTTCAAGCCCCCCACCTGACAAAAAAAAAAAGACTGTTGCTCTACTGCTTGAGCTACATCTCTACTTCTGGCTTCTTGCTAGTTAATTTGACATATGCATGGTCTTGAACTTGTGCTCCTCTGGGCTCATCTTCCTCTTTCATTACTGGTGCATGCCATCTTTTCACACTGAGCAATCTACGTCACTGCCCCCTTGAAGATTATATAACTTATGGGAAATCTTTGGACTATTTACATGCCCCATGCTTCAATTTCTCTTCTTATAATTTAGGGGTGATGATGATGCTAGAATAGTGGTACAGATTATGTATATGTGTATCTAATTCAGCATGACTTTGGAGATACTATGCACAATGAATGTGTCTGTGTGTATATATATACATATACATATATATATATATATATAAAATTCAGCATGATTTTAGAGATGATACGACAAATAAATACATCTTGATCTTCTTCTCCCTTCCCCTCCCCATTCTCTTGGGACTTTGTTTTTAAGCCTCTTATTTTCAGCTCTGCGCATTCATATTTAATGATGATCATTTTTATTCCTTTTCTGTAGCATTAAATATTAAATATCAGGCTGAATACCTCCTCTAATTTCCCTTTGGAGTAATAAAATGTTACCAGTGACTGTTTCTTGAAATCTGTAGCCACAGCCATTGTCAAAACAGAAGTACATCCGAAAGGCAAGCAAACACTTGCTAAGAAGTCTGGAGAGTATTACATAGTGAGAAAATGAAATATATCCAGCAGAGTGATCAGCTGAGAGGTGAACAGGTGCTGAGTTGATCTCAGGAAATTGATCACATGAAAAAATGGTGGTAAATTCTAAGTGTCAAGGTGCTCATTACGTTTTGACAAAAATATAATGACAAATTTAAATGACTTCATTACTAATGAGATGATTTCAGCATGACTTAGAATAACTCCTTTACCCAGCTGAAGTCTAACTGACAAGTAAACAAAAAAAATTGTACACATTCAGCTAGATGCTTGTAGCTCACACCTCTAATCCAGCTATTTAGGAGGCTGAGATCTGAGGTTCTAGGTATGAAACGTCCCAGGCAGGCAAATCCAAGTGATTCTTACCTCTGATTAACCTCTAAGATGCTGGAAGTGGAGCTGAGACTTGAATGGTACAGTACCAGCCTTGAGGGAAAAAAAATTGAAAATAAGAGGCTCTGAATTTGAGTCCTAGACTCAGTAGAAAAACAATGCATCTTTACTATTCATATGTACAAAGAAGATGATCTCACCACATCTGTTCTATGAAAGTATAACCTGCTCCAAACAAGAAGTGTTTAAAAACAAAATCAAGTTTTTGTTAGAAATATGCACTCTGTACTACCAAAAAGAAACTTCCAGAAAAATTCGTAGTATTCTTTTCCAAGGTATAAATTATTACAACAGTAGTTTTGTCATTTCCAGACATGGTGGGTTTTTCTTATGGTTTTATTCTATGACCATATTTTTCATTAATTCCTTTTTTCTTTTACTTACTGCTTTCTGATTAAAGTCATTTTGACATAACTATTCTGGCCTTTTAACTTTTCAAAACAATATCTAGATACAAATAGATCCCTAAAAATGGAGGCTCATCAACATTCAGCACAATGATCTGACAGATCTAATTCAACCACTCACTTTTCACACCTCCTTTCAATGTTAATAATGAAGACTAATTTGGCCATTTGTGTGTGTGTGTGTGTGTGTGTGTGTGTGTGTGTGTGTGTGTGTGAGCCAGTCCTGGTACTTGCACTCAGGACCCAAACACTGTCCCTGAACTAATTTTTACTCAAAGGCTAGCCATCTCCCACTTGAACCACAGCCTCCATGTCGCCCTATTTTTTAGAGATAAGAAGAGTCTTTCCTGCCTGGACTGGCTTTGAACTACAATCCTCCGATCTCAGCCACCTACGTAGTTAGGATTTTTAAGTATGGACCACTGGCGTTCACAGGAGACTCTTATCTCTAATTGATCACTAAAACAAAAATCCAGAAAGTGTAGGTGTGGCTCAAGTATTAAGAGGGTTAACCTTGAGCAATAATGCTCAGGCCCTGAGTTCAAGTCCCAGAACCAGCACAAACAACAATAACAACAACTAATACAGAGATTTTGCAAGGCTTCAATTTCAAGAAGTGCTTTTCAAATTCAGTCTGAGTGAGACAGCCTTGGTGTAGATGTGCAGTGATCATACTGACCATACTGCACTGATGACCTGTGCAGTCCTGAGCATTAGCACCTCTCTCTGTTATAATGAGTGTCTTTCTTTTGCAGGACGGTCCTTTTTACTCTTACTTCCGTCGTTGTTCTAGTCATTACTACTGACTGGATAAGCTGGGACAAGCTTAATCGAGGATTTTTGCCCAGTGATGAAGTTTCCAGAGCATTCCTTGCTTCTTTCATCTTGGTCTTTGACCTTCTAATTGTGATGCAGGTAAGTCTTTGTTTTCCTCTCTGCTCCCTGAAATTTGTCTATGCTTTGTTCTGAGAATGAAAACAAAACAAAACAAAACAAAAGGACACTAATAGGTGACAGGTGCAGAAAGCTAGTGACTATACAGCTTACAGCTGCAATGACTAATGATCTGATTTTCATAAGTTTTACTGGGAGGGAGAGGAGACACCAGAAATTCATTTTATCAACATGGCAAGGTAGGTGCCTAAAAAGAATGCAGCAGGGTAATATTTTTAGAGATGGTTTCAAAGGGAGAAAAAAAAAGGCAAAACAAAACAAAAGTCCAGAAAGCTGTCATTTAGTAACTGGGTAACAGGAAACCTTGAGGATGTGAGCAAGCCAGCAAAGCAGGGTTTTATAGCAATTGAAATGGAGTGATGTTAACATTTTTTAAAAAGGCTTTTTCTCTGGTTTATGGAAATGATCACTTTCAGTATTCACCAGAGATCATCCCATTTTCATGTAAACAATATATCTTCCTTGCTTAGCAACAGATTTTTTTTTTTTTTGCAGGGGGTACAATGGTGTCACACTAACAAGTGAGATTCTTGTAATCTTCTGGTGTGAATGTTTGGGTTTTAGAAATATTCTCTTCAGTGGGGTAGAGACTTTATCTATATCTTGGTGTTTTATCTTGCTCATTAAATGTCCACCACCCATTTGCTAGACACTTGCTTACTGTTTTCATAAGACAATTTAGCTTTCTTCACCTCCAGAGACACTATAAATTACCCGAACAAAGGCTACTATTGTTAGAGAGAAAGGAAGAGCCATTGTATTGTGAATTTATGTGAGAATTTTGCAGGATACTAGATTGCTTTTCTTATTTCTAGAGGCAAGGAGGCTTTATGAGAGCTATTCTGTGTTGTCTCAATAAGAACAATAGTGTGTTGGGTTTTGTTTTGTTTTGTACTATAATATATAATGGGCATTAAGTTCAAGAAGGCATAAGAATGTACTGCTGCTTATAATGGGTGCTATTTTCAAATTCATTTTAGCTTTAAATGACTGAATTCATGAAATTGGTAGGTTATGTCTCATCTTTTTTTTTGGGGGGGGGTCCATTCGTGTGGCCTGAACTCTGGGCCTGCGCGCTGTCCCTCAGCTCTTCAGCTCAAGGCTAGCGCTCTACCACTTGAGCCACAGCGCCACTTCCGGCTTTTTCTTTTTGTTTATGTGGTGCTGAGGAATCGAACCCAGGGCCTCAGGCATGCAAGGCAAGCACTCTAACACTGAGCCACCTTCCCAGCCCCATGTCTCATCTTAAAATAGAGGTATTTCTTTATCCCTCCCTGTGAAATAGCTTAGACTAGTGTAGAAGGCCAGACACTTGGTGTGCATTGGTGAGCTCCAGATTGGTCTCTTGGCAATCACATGATCTTACCTGGAGAGCTTCACATCTATCTATCTATCTATCTATCTATCTATCTATCTATCTATCTATCTATCTATCTATCTATCTATCTATCTATCTATCTGTCTATCTATCTAATTTATTTTATTTTTTGATACCAGTGCTGAGTCTTGAACTCAGGGCCTCACACTCAAACTCGGCTTCTTCACTCAGGGCTGGAGCTCCACCATTTGAGCCTCACCTCTCCTCCTGACTTTTTGCTGGTTAATGGGAGATAAGAGGTTTTCAGCTTTGCCTAGATGTGAACCTCTTAAGTAGCTAGGATTAAAGGCATGCAGCACCAGTGCTGGCTCTAAATTAAATTGATAGCACTTATTTGCCTGTATCCTCATTACTTGTTTAAAGGCTGGTTTTTATCTTTTCCATCTCCTCATAAATTCACTTCACACCATTAGAATGTCTATTTTGGTTCAGTGGTCCAATGAGATCTCTTTGAAACCATCTAAAACACAAAGGCAAGAACTATCTTCTTGAATTTGCTTAAAATTTATATATGTGAGAACATACCTTCCCTGACTGGCTATTACTATTTCCTAGCATGTACCTTCTTTGTGTACATTTTACATAGCCTTCCAACTGTCACGAAAACCAAGACCTTCAAGTGGAAAAAAATAGAGTATTACCATTTATAGAAATCATGTGTTTATTCAAAACAGCACTTACTGAACATGGAAAGAGGAGAAGAAGAGCAGAAATCAGGATTTGTACAGGCTTGGAAAGAGAAAGACATTATAGAGTAGGGGAAAAACAGAAAATAAGGAGTCAGTAAATTTGCTGAAGTGTTCAGAGAGTAGCCTGAGACAGACTGACTGATGATGAAGAGTTAGTTCATGCAAAGGAATGCACTCATTGGAACCATTTGGGCTGCAAGTAATGCTAATCCCAATCAAAGGGAGAGCTTCTGTATACCATGTAGAAACACCCGGGCCATTTTGAGAGGGAGAAGGTGGTCACCATTAAAGACACTGGAAAGCAGAGACTTGCCTCCATCTCTCATCTTCCCTGGATCCTTTCTGCTTTCCGTTCTGCCTTTCCCTGAAAACCAGCTTTTGCTAGTTTATATGGAAGGAAAAAGTTACTGCCAAACATCTCAGATGGGACAATCATTCGAATGGTCAGTCCCAACTTCAGATTTCCTGGGAAGAGATTGTCCCGTGCCTATCCTTGAACTGAGTGAGGCAGTATGGGAAGCTGGAGATGGGCAGTCCCAAAGCAGAAGGGGAGACCTGAGCTCTCTAATACCACATCACAAGGTATATCAAGCTATGTTAGTAATCATATAATTAGCCATAGGTAATAATTAGGAATAAGTATATTACTTTATGATCATACGAAGGGGAGTTGAAAAGGACTTCCCAAAGCTAGTTCTCTGTCCCTTCCTCTTACAAGCTGGCCAGCGAAGCATATGGACTCATCTTTTTCTATCTCTTGTACCCCAATACTTCTCTCTCCTTTCTTTTTTTTTCTGTCAGCAGTCTAGTCTAGACACTGCTTTGTCCTATCACAAAATCAGCCATGACGCTGTCTGCCTCTAGCTCGCCCCTTTCTTCCACGCGCAAGGCAGTTTGCTCTCAGCACCTGGTGGCTCACCCCTGTAATGCTAGTGACTCCAGAGGCTGAAATGGGGGAAGGCTGTGGTTTGAAGCCAGCTTGGGCTAAAAAGTTAGAGAGATCCCATATCAATCTATAGCCAAGCAAAGCAGGCACCCGCTTGTCATCTGAGCTATATGGGAGGCTGATAGGGGGATTGCAATCCAAGTTAGCTCAGGCAAAAAATAAATAAATAAATAAAAAAGCAAGACCTTTCCTCAAAAAAAGGACCAAAGCAAAAGGATTTTGAGGTGTGGCTGAAGTAGTGAAGCATCTGCCCAGCAAGTATGAGGTCTTGAGTTCAAAACACTGAAATTAAAAAAAAAGATTTATTTGATTCGAGTGCCCTGCATCTTGTATGTACATTTTTCTAATTTGGGGAGGGGAAGGGAAATAACAAAATGCCGAAATAAGGATACAGGTTGACCCATTGTAATCATGAGACGTACAAGACACTATGTTGAAAATGAAATTTACAACTTTGGGGCGGAGGGGGGGGAGGAGGGAGGAGTTGGGGAGGTGGGGAGGGAAGGGATGGTAGGGGAAAAACAAAGGAGGAGGTAACAATGCTCAATAGGAAATATACTCATTACCTTGCTCATGTAACTGTACAGTATCTTTACAATAAAAAATATTTTTTAAAAAAAGATTTAAAAATCTATGCTGTATATATCACTTCTCCAACTCCAAATGGATTCCTTATGGCTCAAAATAAATTCCAAGAGCTCTTCCTCAATCTTTTCTGCCTTCTGGCCCTGGATTCATTTTTCTTCTGTGTCTCTTGGATCCAGCTCCAACCTAAGCTTCTCTGCATTTTACTACAGGTAGCTTTTCACTCCCAAGATGTCTGCGAGCCTCTTCTCCCTCCCCAGATTGTGTCTTGACTGCTCTACTCATAGAATCCAGGCATTGGAACCATTTCAACACCCCCTGCCTTGAAGCCCCTGATCCTTTCTTGTCAGCACCTCTGTGCTATCTTTGCCAGGCACTGCACATCCACACATCCCCATCATCGTTATTCCTGGGCATCCCTGGAACCTCCCCCACTGGGCAGTTCCTTGCATGGGGTAGGAGCAGGCTACAGTCATATCAGCTTGATGAGGCTGCAGAATGGAAAGGTCAGCCTGGAGCTCAAGCCAAATATGATTCCCTCTGTGAGCAGCAATCAGATGATCTGGAAATAGTACCCATACACCAGTGGTCGGGAGTTAAAGAGACATAGCCCCAGAAACCTTATGTATTAAAGATGCCTGATAAGTCATTGGACAAATAGACTAAGACACCCATAACCAACTGAACTGTGATCCAATTCATCCCACACCTACATGTTTCTGGTTAAACGAAAAATAGACTAGTAGTAAAAATTTGTGGAACTGAGCCTAGCACTACTAACTCAAGCCTGTAATCCTAGCTACTCAGGAGGCTGAGATTTGAGAATCAAGGTTCAAGGCAGACCAGGCCAAAAAAAAAGTCTGTAAGACTTTTATTTCCAATTAATCAGCAAACATATTCAGCAGTCAATGCATGGCTCAAGTGGTAGAGTTCTAGCACTGAGCACAAAAAAGCTAAAGAATGGTACCTAGGACCTGAGTTCAAGCCCCAGTACTAGCATACATGTGCGCACGTACACACACACACATCCCACAGACAAGTAGTAAAATTAGTACAATTGAACAGAGAAATTTGAATTTATAGGGCCGTCCTCATTAGATTTCTTTAAATGGTTTTAACACAATTTATCCTGGGATTTTTCCATGAGAGAAAAATCCACTTAAACTATAATAAATACTGTTTGATTAATTTTTTTATTAAAAAATAGAAGATAACATTAGAATGGTTTTTTGTGATACAGGAACTGAGGCTAGAACCTTTTACTCATAAAACACACTCTCTGACACTGAGCTACAACCTAGCTCTAAAAATATGATACTATTTCTGTAAATATTTTAATTCTACTAGAATTAGCAAGCCAATT